GTAAAAAGAATTTGTAAAATACATGATATTAAACATTTTATTACTTGCATCCATTCACAGCACACATTTCATATCATCTTTAGACTGTAGTGCTGCCCCAATCCCTGGTGTCTCACAGGGGCTCGTCAGATACCTAAATAAAAGATAGAAATGTCAGCAACATTGTTGTAGAGTTACATCAGTAAACCAAACATGGAGAGGCAAGGTCATGAGAGGCGATGTTCGGCAAGCACTCATACATTTTGTAGTTTTCCTAAGGTGCGCCACCACTACGTATCAGGCATAGACTTTCGAGCATCGCCGCGGGTCTTAAATCTGCTCAATGGAAAATACTATTGACAGTGTCTTTATTAATGAAGACACTGACATGAGTTGATTTTTCCTCCAGAGCTCCTCCTCTAGAGGGTGCGGTTTTCACAGAAAACATGCTTTTTATGTTTCACAAACTTTGAAGTTATAACACAGAGACATCTTTAGACTAGAAACATTTGAAGGATACACAAAATACACAAACTATATTCATATAATTTCCTGTTTTCAGTGCAAGAAAAGCAGATGTAGCTGTTTGTTTAAACCACACACAAAGAAAACAAGTGCACCCCAGTTTGTCACCAACCAATTCCAAACGGTTCTCCCATAGGGAGCCTAAGTCTCTTTCCGGTTGGCTCATGGGTCCCTGGAAAAACGGAAAAATGAAAGCAACTCAACGGGGCTAAAAGAGTTATTTTCTAATCTGCTTTGCCTTACGCCCTGGATCGCACATTTGTTGTACTGCAATTTAAATGAAAAATAATGTACTGTACTTTGAGATTTATCAGCTTGTCAAAATTTGTAATTAGCATGACTACACACCAGAAATTGGCATGTCACATGTGTGACGTCGTCACCATATGATCTCCTCACCCCTAACGTAGCTGCTACTTACCAAATGACCAGATTTATGGCGGTTCTTTCCTCCTGTGGGAAGTTTGCCAAAATTACAGGTATTTCCCCTCAGTTTTCTCCATTTCTGGTTCGATGACATGACTTTCTTGAAGCGTATTTGTAGTCCTGGACTTATTTTCACACAAAACCTAATATAGCGTTTCCCCCTGTTCGAAAATTTGCGCGTTCTTGGCAGGGCTGGATTATCATTGCAGGGGCCCCTGGGCACAATGTGCTTAGCCCCTCCCCCTTTCCCCACCCCACCCAGCCTCCCCCAACATTACTGCCACCCAGAAGCACTTTTTAGATATTTCATAACATTGTCAATATTAAAACTCGCTTACATATGTTGATGCAAGGGTTAAATATCTGCATGTTTTTTGTTTGTCTCCTGACTCCTTCCTCCTCTTGTCTTCTCTCTCCTTCCTCTTCTCATGTCAGTTCTCTTGTTTACTCTTCCTTCTTCCATCTCAGGAACATTGCTAAGCTGAGTCCCATTCTGTCCTGCTCTGAACTTGAGACAGTTATCCACACCTTCATCTCCTCACGCTTAGACTACTGTAACTCTCTTTTCACGTGTCTGAGCAGAACCATCTACAGGTGGTTCAGAATGCCTGTGCTCGGCTTCTGACCAAGTCCTCCAAACACACCCACATCACCCCGCTTCTCCTCCAGCTTCATTGGCTACCAGTCAACGTCAGGGTTCATTTCAAGATCCTGGTTCTGGTCTACAGGGCCTTACATGGACAAGCACCATCTTACATTGCGATATTCTTAGGCCCTACACCCCCAGCAGGTCCCTGAGGTCCAGTGATCAAATCCTACTGGTTGTGCAGCACCAGGCTAAAGACCAAAGGTGACAGATAATTTGCTGCTGTGGCCCCCAGACTCTGGACCTCTCTCCCCCTGAGCCTGAGATCTGTGGACTCCTTTAAAAAGCAGCTGAAAACTCACTTGTTCAAAATGGCTTTTGTATGACCTTCTTCACCACTCTCTCTTTATTCTGTTCTCCCCACCTATTCCACCTTCCTCAGGATCCACTGATTTCCCTCTTTTCTATTCACTCTCACTCTTCCTTAACATTTTTTAATCACAATTGTCTATTTTTTGGCTAATTTTAAATATCTTTTTAACCATTTTCTAAATTCTTTTTTATATTTTTACATTGTTTTTGTGAAGTGCCTTGTGATTTTTATTTTGAGAGGCACTCTAGAAATGATATTTTCTTCTTCTTGTCTCCTGTCTCCTTCCTCCTCTTGTCTCCTGTTTCCTTCCTCCTCCTGTCTTCTGTCTCCTTCCTCCAATTGCCTCCTGATTCCTTCCTCCTCTTGTCTCCTGTTTCCTTCCTCCTCTTGTCTCCTGTCTCCTTCCTCCTCCTGTCTCCTGTTTCCTTCTTCTTCTTGTCCCCTGTCTCCTTCCTCTTCTTGTCTCCTGTCTCCTTCCACCTCTTGTCTCCTATCTCCTTCCTCCTCTTATCTACTGTCTCCTTCCTCCTCTTGTCTCCTGTTTCCTTCCTCCTCTTGTCTCCTGTCTCCTTTCTCTTATTGTCTCCTGTTTCCTTCCTCCTCTTTTCTCTTGTCTCCTTCCTCCTCTTGTCTCCTGTTTCCTTCCTCCTCTTGTCTTCTGTCTCCTTCCTCATCTTGTCTCCTGTTTCCTTCCTCATCTTGTCTCCTGTCTCCTTCCTCTTCTTGACTCCTGGCTCCTTCCTCTTCTTGACTCCTGGCTCCTTCCTCTTCTTGACTCCTGGCTCCTTCCTCTTCTTTTTGTTTCCTCTTGTTGCTGTCCTCTCTTGCCTTCAGAAAAACTGCTTTCTGGCCTTTCTATTGGTAAATTCATTAACATTGTCATCAAAGTCCAGATTCCTGACAAGCTGAGATTCAATAGCTATCAGTGACAGTGCACTGAGGCGCTGTTGAGTTTGTGTTGTTCTCAGTTTATTTTTATTCTTGCCATTTGTAAAAATCGTTCCCCTTCACAAGTTGTAATTGGTAGCAGGCACGTTGCAAGCTTTTCAAAAGTGTGGGGATGTTGTCTGTGCCTAAAATAATTATGTTATTAATCTTGTTAGTTTAATTTCCATAATAGCTGAGCAGGTGCGAACTTTAGACGTGTCATGCATGTCTCCGTTTTAAACATGTTTAAACTGTTTAGAATACAAATCCAGGCTCTGTCTTGTTAGATTGGTGCAACTAAAGTTTGTACAAAATGAAATTTTTACATTAAACCATGTAAAAAAGGTAAGAAAAGAATCCGATTAAATCGTTTTCCACCTCATTTACAATCAGTACAGCGCAGTGCGTATGGCTCTGGGGCTAATCAAGTTTAATTGTTTCTCTTTGCAACAATCTTCACAAGAAGGCAAAACAGTTAAATGGCAGCTTACAGATATTTCCATTTGACTGTTTATTTTGACGGATAAACTCAAGGATGTTGGTTGTTTTGAAAGAATTACCCCCACGCACACTAATGCGCACACAGATGAGCTGACATTTTAATCATTACGCACATCACGGAGGTAACTAAATCAATCAAGAAATGATTCCCATCAGAACATCAGAGCTTTATACTGGACACTGTGCTCAGCGCAGCTCGCAGCGCACACGTTGGACAGTGGGCTGGAGATCTGTAGAGGGGTTTGCAGCGCAGAGCAAACCACAGCGATGCGGTAAGATTTCCTCCCACTGAAGCGGTCTGGAAACCTGTCTCTCTGAAGGATGTGTCACTTGGAAAAATGTTCTCTGATTATGAAACTTTGGCTGAATAGCGCTTGTTCCCGTCTCCAATATGGAGACGCATGACGCATCCAGACTGAGGCAGAATAGCTTCTTCAGCTCAGAAAGCACCTGTAGAGACATTTGATCACACACGAAGTTTATGTGGAGCAGAAGCGGTCGGCCCACGGCAGGTGAAATGTTCCTAGCCTACATGAAATGAAATTGTTTAATTGTAGCATTATTAATCTGCTACTGGACACGCTGGTCTGGTTGGTCAGACCAGTGTTTGAAGTGGAAAACACACACACACACACACACACACACACACACACACACACACACACACACACACACACACACACACACACACATTGAGAGGTACATATAAGAAGTGCAGGTAGAGTTAGGAAAATCCGCAGGGCCACAAACATATTAGGGACGATGGACTGTAGACTATTTTTAGCCCAAAAACGATCATTGTTCTATTTACATTACATTACTCATGAGGACTCTGCTGAGATGCTATTTTTGCGATTGGTAGATCTTTTAGAACTGCAGTTCAAAGGTAACTCATAAGGTGAATATTTATGAAGCCATGTAACAGTTTTTCTTTAGGATTGAGAGGAGATGCAGGAAGATAATAACAGACACGACAGAAAGAATAGTCAAATAAAAACAAGTTAGTTTTTGTACCTGGTGGTTGCAACAAACAGACACCATTGAAGGTAATCAGAAGTGAGGAACAGAAAATAAAATAATTATTTTAATGTTTAGAGCAGCAGGAACTCTGAGAGGCTGCAGGCGCACTGCGCGGGGAGGGGGGGGGGGGGCTGAAGCGGGGAACGGTAAAGATGCAAAAACTACCATTGTTAAAAGAAATGTGTGTTAACTTAGAAAATGTGGGCGCAATTTTAATTGTCAACATTTTTCTCCAACGTTAAGACTGCTGCACAAGAAAAAAAAAAAAGACTGCTGCTTACATGGGCCCCCTTGTGGCTGTGGGCCCCTGGGCCTGTGCCCAGTTTACCCATATTACAATCCAGCCTTGTTCTTGGTATCAAAATGTGTCTTTAAAATTCACGGACATCATATGTGAAATCCATGGCACAAAACAAGTGGAATTAGAAAATAGCGTTTTTAACCCCGTTGACTTGCATTCTGGGCGTGACTTATTGTCAAAAATTAAGTTTTGAGAGAGTGTAGAAAAAACTGTCAAGCACAGAGAACATACTTGAGAGCAGTTTTGGTCTGTGCAAAGAAAAAGTTTGCACATGCGAAGAAAATATCGGTGCAAAAAGTTTAAAATCTGAGCGCAGAAACAACAATTTGAGGGAGAACAGAGTTTATTTGAAAGACAGCAGACGTTTTCAGCGCAAGCATGACAAGTTTTGAGGGCAATGATATAAAATGCTGCTTTCAGATGGAAAAGTCAAGCTCTCGATATGTGGCAGTTTAATTCCCCCATAGTTTTGGCGGGATCCAGTTGTGTGTGAAACAGGGAGGAGACCAGCTGGAGAATGGCTCCTCTGTAGACGCCCCTCACACCCTGCTCATGTGAATCACATTTTCCACCTTCAGTTACTTGAGACGGGGCCTGTCCGACAGCACACACGAACCGAACCCTTTCTTCCTCTGTCTGACCACAACCGAACCGAGTGGACGCCTGTCGGGACTACAACGCTGTTGATCAATAAGCAGGAAAGTTCTGTAAAGTTTGAGACAACGTTTTCTGGTGAAACCATGAGGAAAAGTAGCGCGCTGTCACGTTTAACCAGCCCGACTCCTAACTAGAGTCTACCAGAGAAACCCGTTTATCGAGCGGATCATGGATCTCCAGGTGATCATCTGGCTGGCCTACGGTTGTCTTCTCCCCTCCGTCCTGCTAACAGGTAAGCTCCCGGATCTGCTGCTTGTTTCTTACAGCTGAGTGAAACGTGTCAGAAATCCTGCAGCAGGGTGGGAACGGACTCAGCAGCGTCTCGAGCCAGCGCCATGGAGGCAGATGAAACTGTACTCGGGTCCATACTCGCGGGCACTTGAGAGATTCACGACGTGGTTTAAAATAGAAGCTCCGTCCAGGTTGTCCTCCTGCGACCGGGCTGGCGGTGCTTACACCCACACCTGTGTGTGTGTGTGTGTGTGTGTGTGTGTGTGTGTGTGTGTGTGTGTGTGTGTGAGAGAGAGAGAGTTCAGTGCTGCTTCTTGCTAGATTTAGCTAAAGTTGGCACATTTGTTAACCTACTGACATTCTTTAGAAATGTTTCGGAATGTCTGGGACGACACACACACACACACACACAGGTGTGTCAGTAAAACAAACAAGTTATTTCACCATAATGGTGTTTGTGTGCGAGAGCAGCGTTTTGGGATCTTTCCCTCTGGGGCAGCAGGACTGGAGCCTTTTACACTCCCTGTAAACTCTAACTTGTAAAACGAGACACGTGGAAAATTCCGTTTTTCTTTCACTTCCTGTTTTTAGGACACACTCTGAGACAATTGGGTTCATGTTAGCAAGCCCCTCATAGTTTCCCCATAATCTCACTAAACCTGTTAAGCTGTGCTTCAGACACCAACATTCATGGTCTTGGAACTGGTCTCAGACCTGTGAGAGACCGGCACCCTTGAGGTTAGATTTGGTGTAAAAACAGGAAGTCTGGCAGCTCAGCTGTTCATCTCACTACAGGTTTTGGTGTTATTAAAAATAATTGAACCTTATTTGTGTGAGTTAAAAAAACAAGCAGGATTTTCGAACATGTTACGTGCTCCATATTTCTACTTTGTTAGCTTTAACTGTTCATGTTATTCTCCTGAGTCAGAAAGAAAACTTGCCAACTGTGAACCCTGTTCTTCTTTTGTATCCATCACTTTGTTTACATTTCCTGGAGACGGATGACACAACTTTGTTTGGCCTTCATCCAAGAAAACAGAGTGTGGGCCGCTGTGCTTATAAATCAGACCAGTCAGGTGGAAAAATTGGCTGCTTTCTTCAAGGGACTTTCCTTATAAAGGCTAGAGACAAACTCAGGTGTGCCTTTATTGACCCTGGTCACCCTGAAAGCTTATTTTTACCTTTAATAAAGTAACTAATGGTTAAATGTGCAAACAGAGGTGTGTGTGTGTGTGTGTGTGTGTGTGTGTGTGTGTGTGTGTGTGTGTGTGTTCTTTTACATACTACATAATGAGGACCATTTAGACCATTTTCCCTACAATGTGAGGACATTTTTTTGGTTCTTACTTTTTTTAAAAGCTTACCAGAAGCTTACTGTGGCACTATACCAGTTAGAGGTATAGTGTGAATTAAGGTTTAGTTAAGGTTAGGGTTAGCATCAGTGTTGGTTGGGGTATGGGTTAGGCATAGTGAAATCACAAAATGAATGGAAGTCAATGGAGAGTCCTCACTATGATAGAATGACAGGCGTGTGTGTGTGTGTTTATCATACTGAAATCTCCTCAATGCGGTTTAGGGGTTTAATGGGCAATGTTAATTCCACGTTTTAGGACTGGACCAGCTCTATACCCTCCTGAAGGGTGTGTGGAAGTTCACCCAACCAATCTAAATGTGATTTGTTGATTTGAAGAGGGAATTCGACCGTGTGCCTCAGTGTGCCCTGTAGTATGGGGTACCTGGCCCTTTGACACAGGCTGTTGCCAGAGCTTGGTCCGCATTGCTGGCAGTAAGTCAAGCTCGTTTACAGTGACAGTTGGAATCTGCCAAGGCTGCCGTTTGTCACAGATTCTGTTCATAACCTTTATGGACGGGGTTTCTAGGAACAGCCAAGGGGGTCTGTTTTGGTGACCTAAGGATCAGGTCTCAGCCTTTTGCAGATAATGTGGTCTTGATTTAGATTTTAAATTGCTTTTTAAACTGTTAACAACCCCTTATGATGATCGCTTCAAATGGAAACGATGTTCCCTCGCCCGAACACGGGTCACCAGGGCCCCTGTCTGGAGCCAGGCCTGGAGGTGGGATACGTCGGCAAGCGCCTGGTGGCTGGCATTTCCCTCATGTATGGGATTAGATTTGTGTCAATAGGACCAAGAAAAACACTTTGACGATAAAACAAAAATTAAGAAATTGACAGAACAAAAATATTGACAAAAGTAAAATAAATTGTTTCAAAAGTTAAACTTACTATCTGAATCAACTTCTTAAAATAAGTAATAAAGTATGTTTCCTTTTTCTGTTTGCCTCTATGTGTTTTTGTTATCAATTTCATTTGTTTCATTCTTGCTGCTCAGAGCTTTGCTCTCACTACCAGGTTTGCACTTACACTTCCTGGCTTTCTCCTTTGCAATCCCTGAGTTTTTGGTTGCAATTCTGACACAACCCTTTCGGGTGGGTGGGACTTCTAAAAAGTCCTCCCCCATAGGACAGTGCTTTCTCTTGAGTGACAGTTCAGTAACCTGGAAGTGATGTAGCCTCTAAGACTTATTTTTTTCCCCCACTTCGGTCACCAACATGATTATTGTTCTTTTCGCCTGCATGAAGGATGGGTCCGGTGTATCCTTCAGTGGTTTACATTTCCCAAGATGCTTTGCGGGCCGGACGGCAGAACTTTTAAAAACAATGGCGGACAGTGAAGTGGGAGCTGTCGGAGAGGATTGCGCATATAAATGTTAGTATAAACTTGAAAACTGTTAGGTTAAGGGCTTTTTGTGATACATGAACGTTATTTTAGCTTGAAATGTTACAGTAAAAGTGCTTGTATGTTCGGCCGCTCGGTGTACTTCTCCCGCTACGTTTCCCCCCTGATTTTAATAGAAGTTTGTATTTTAGGGACAAAAGAGAAAACCAGGGACTTTATTAAGCTTGGGGGGAGATGGACCACATGTTCACCGGAGCTAAGCATTCAGCGGCTGTGGCATGGAGGTACAATAACATCTCATATTTTAAAAACTGTCGTTTGAGTTTAGTTTTTTCTGTGAAAACATGAAAGGAATAACCCGTTGTCCTCTTTTCTCTATCTTTTCGCTTCCTGTTTTTTTTTCTTACATGTTTTTTAAGACTATTCTGGAGAAAATGGGCATCCAGGGGAAGGTGACAGCGATGACCAGCTTGTGGGGCGACGGTGGCACAGGAGTTAAGTGCTCGCCCCGTAATCGGAAGGTTGCTGGTTAGAGTCCCGCTCAGTCTGTCGCTGTCGTTGTGTCCTTGGGCAAGACACTTAACCCACGTTGCCTGCTGGTGGTGGTCGGAGGGACTGGTGGCGCCAGTGCTCGGCAGCCTCGCCTCTGTCAGTGCGCCCCAGGGCAGCTGTGGCTACATTGTAGCTCATCCCCACCTGTGTGTGAATGGGTGAATGACTGATTGTGTTGTAAAGCGCCTTGGGGGGTTCTAGGACTCTAGAAGGCGCTATATCAAATACAGGCCATTTACCATTTACCATTTCTGGAGCTGATCAGGGAGGACATGACGCTGCAGAGGGAGGCAGAGCAGCAGAGGGCACAGGAGAGAAGGGAGAATTTTGACAGCTTTTTACTTTGCTAGAAAAAATGGTTAAGAAAGATTAAACATGTACATATAAAAGAAATATCTAAATAAAATCAGTTCTGTATTAAATTCTTGAATTTTATTTTTGTTTATAAATGTGAATTGTTTAATATTACAGGGTATCCGCTGGGTCTTGAAAAGTCTTGAAAGGTGATGAATCGATTTTGGTCAAATTAAGACCCTTAGAAAGTATTAAAAACTATTATCACATCTTTGCTCAGGCTCAGCTTGTCGAAAGTATTTTCTCTGAATTAGCTCTCCAACAGTCAAGGAAATGATTAAAAAGCTAAATAAAACTTCGAGCTCCATCGTTTAAAGTTCCTTCTCCCTTCTGCTCAGCTGTTCCACGGTTGCTAGGCGACGGAACGTTTGCCGAGGGAGTGGCGGGAATTCATGAAGGCTAGGCCTGTCCAAATTCACAGCCGTTAACATCCGGTCTACTCGGCCGACGGAGGACCCAGCCCACGTCGGCCGAGTAGACTGGGTCCTTCGAAGGATGCAGACCCTGAATTGAGACACAGCGATTGTCATGGAGGCTAGCTTAGCAGCAAGCTAGTGAGCTAACGTTTGGTTAAAACCAACTTAAAAAGTGACTTCACTTACAGATTAACTTGGAGTGCCTAAGAAAAGATAAAATATATTATCAATACTCACTTTAGATCCTCAGTAGACACCACAGACGGCAGAAATCACGTGCTTGGGGCTCAAAATTCACGTTGTTCACCGAGGTGGAAAAATAAGTCTTGGAGGCTACATCACTTCCAGGTCACTGAACTGTCACTCAAGAGAAAGCGCTGTCCTATGGGAGAGGACTTTTCAGAAGTCCTACCCACCTGAAAGGGTTGTGTCAGAATTGCAACCAAAAACTCAGGGATTGCTAAGGAGAAAGCCAGGAAGTGTAAGTGCAAATCTGGTAGTGAGAGCAAAGCTCTGAGCAGCAAGAATGAAACAAAGGAAATTGATAACAAAAACTCATAGAGGCAAACAGAAAAAGGAAACATACCTTATTGCTCATTTCAAGAAGTTGATTCAGAAAGTAAGTTTTCCTTTTGAAACGATTTTTTTCTCTCAATGTTTTAATATTTGTTTGATCTCCAAAGTGTTTTTCTTGATCCTTTTGGCACAAATCTAATCTGATACTCATGGATCCCGGCCACGCACAGCCTTAAGAGGACATGTGGCTCCCCCTTCCCATGGGCTCACCACTTCTGGGAGGGGCCAAAGGGGCCGGGTGCAATGTGTGATGGGTAGTTGCCGAGGGTAGGGATCTTGGCGGTCTGATCCTCGGCTATAGAAGCTGGCTCTCTGTATGTGGAATGTCACCTCTCAGGTGGGGAAGGTTGGTGTGAAAGGTTGAGAGGCTTTGACTAGATATAGTCGGACCCACCTCCACGCATG